CTCATTTACTCTTATATTTACTGTGAGGACACGTAGCTTATATTTACTGTGAGGACATGTAGACTTCAATCTCAAACTATGTTCACAGCAAACTTTACCTGTAACACTGAACAAACCGTCTCACACTTTCTGGTGGGTTTAAAGGACAACAACAGACAAGCAGCTTTATGCTGCTGATATAACATGCCACTGAAGTGTCTGAGAGCAGAGTCAGACCAACTAACCTGGCTAGTGCTGCCCCAGCTGAAGTGGGTACTGCTGTCAGTTATTTGTGCATTTCCTTTGCCAGAGGTTAATGCCCTTTTCTAAAAAAAAAAAAAAAAAAAAGCTTTTTCTTTCTTTCACTCTTCCTTCCTTTTTTTCCTTTTCCCATCATTTCACTAGATTGGGTTGTAAAGCAGACAAAGAGTGAAAATGACAGGGCTAAGAAAGAAATAACCTTTAGTGGGGCTGCCAGTGAGATAGGGACATCCAACAGGGAGCAGTAAATATTTCGGTGATGAATTATGACGGTGATGATGAGCGGGTTAGCCTGTCTCGCTGTACCTCATGCCCTGATGAACTCCACACGAGTCAGGCACGTTCAGGAAGGATGACTGCAGTGCGATGCTGGGGCATGAGAGGGCTGCGAGGATGAGCAGGGGAACGGAAAACCTCTCTTACAGAAGGAGGCCAATAGCCATGGATCTGGTTAGTGTGGAGCAAATAAAGACCAGGAGGGAAGAGGATGGTTCTTCATTAATACATTGGGAATGAAAAACAGAAAAACAGTCACTCAAGCGATAGGATAAGAGTTGCTTAAAAACAAGTGGGTGTAAAATTCCCGCGAGTCAGTTCAGGCTAGCAATCAGGCAGAGGTTTCTAAAGAGCAAAGCAAGCGAGGCTCTGTAGAGCCCCTCAGCAGTTACTTTGGTTACAGCTGCCAGCCAAGCATTCAGCCCAACTGGGCACATTTGTGGGAAAGCAATGCCGTGGCCGCTCCCCGACTCAGGCTGTCCCTCTTACCCTCTGTCTGCACCACCGTGCACATCCCCATGGCAGGAGCTGGCAGCCGGGCACAGCCGGCCGCTCGCAGGAGGGAGCCAGGAGCATCGCCGAAGCATTCAGTTTGGGAACGTCAATTGAGGGATAAAATCCCCACTGACTGCGGAACTTGTGTGTGGGAAAAACGGTAAGGAGCTAGAGGTGCAGGATAACACCAAAAGGGAAGAGGCTGGTGTGAGGGAGATGTAGCAGGCTTTGTTCTGATGTCCTAATCAAGGCTTAGCCACGTGTTATTAAGCAGACACGATTTGACGTTAGACTGTTCAGACATTGGGGATAATGAGGCCAGCCAAGTTCAGACTTTGAACGTGTGAAGAAGGAGGCCACGTGAAGAAAAAGTTGCAGTGCAGTCTCGTCAGTGTTTCAGTTTATTTTCTCTGAAGCATTTGCAAATGAGAATTTTCCTGGGGCTCGAGAACCTTTGGCAGGGCTGGGGTGGCAATGACCGACTGAGAACAGTAAGCATTTTAACCCAGATCAGCATCACCAGCTCTCTAAATACAAAAATAATTAATTTGTTTTTGTACTTCAAGCTCAGTAAAAACACAAAACCTCAGGGGCCATCCACACTTGAAAGCTCCTTTAGATTAAGGCAGTGTGGGAATTTACACTCCCTGGGCTCCTCTTGAATACTTAAAGTACAGTTGACTTTTACTCCAAGTAAGACAGTTTTTCGTGACTTGGCTTAATACATTTTCAAAGAGGGGAGCGTCCACATATGGAGTTACTCTGGAATAACTACCCACATAGGCAAGCCTTAGAAGCTAGCACTGGAAGTAAGTATTTTCAGTGCTTGAGCACAGAGCCTATGAGCACTTACTCACATACTCGGTTTCATGCAGATGAATGTATCTATCAGGTTTCACAGGGCTGCTCATGCACATGCCAAAATATTTACAGGATTGGGGCCCTGCTTTGTAGAAAGAGATGCGTGCTGTGCCCCAGAGTGCCACCTTAAAGAAAAATACGAATCCCCGGATTGAATGCTAGTGTATCCCATCATCTCTCCCATCTCTCTGATACCATTCCAGTTGGCTCTCTCGCACTCCCAGATAATTCACACATGTTTACTCATACACAAATCCTACGGCACCCCTTCCCCCCATGAAAAAGTCAGCCAGCTGTTACAAAATTCAGACATTTCATTAACACAGTTTACTGGCTGATACTGCCAAGCAAAATAGAGATAATTAATAATAATCAGGACTGAAGGGTCTGAGACAGCTTATGGGTAAAGGATTGTATTAGTTGCTTAAAAAGGACAAACTCACTCCTGCCTGGAGTGATAGGGAACAAAGGGCGGTGATGTATAACCGGGGAGGAAAGAGACTCTCTCCGTGGCTTTTGTAGATTACTGTGTGAATGACAGGAGCGGCAGGAGCAAATACCTCTTTTCATTTGCTCAGCCTGCTGGAGAAGAATAGCAGCGCTTGCCAATGAAGCTGCAGCTGTGCTCCAGCTCCGTTTAATCACTGTGTATGACTGAGGGTTAATTAGCTGCCATTCTTACTTCTATTTGTTGTTCTAATGAAGATTTGCATAAATGTAAGACTAGGGGGTAACTGATACTTGATTTTTCCCTTCAGAGAGGCTGGGGGTGGAAAACTCGCCCATCCCGACTGTTTATGTTTGCGCGAGATTCAGTGTTGCCTTTCCATTTGACCTGATCTGCTTCTGGCTGATGAATGGTGAACAAAGAGTTCGAAGTTGCTTATCAAATCGAGACCCCTGTTGGGTTTCTGCCTTTAGAAAGGGGCAGACCAGTTAGATGAAGAGAGGATCGAGGGATTAGAAAACTACTCCCAGCTGACAGAGAGGAAAATACATGTATGCATGTTTCTGTATCCATATGTGTAGATATATATGTGATATATTTCAGCGATAGGTATCTCAGTGATATATATATGTGATGTATATCTCTATTTATCTATCTATCTACCCGTCTATCCATCATGTTCAATCTGAATGGCAAGGAACCAATCATTTGTTAATGATAAAACGTCATAAAAAAATAATGGGACAGGCAGTACAACCAGAACAAGCTGTAGCGTATTAGGCAATATGCTGAAAAGTAAGAACTTATAAGTTTTTACAGGCCTTCTGTTGTACATCACTAACATTCAAAGTTCACTTTTTAATAAGAAAAGTATCTAACACAAAACAGGCAATCTCAAAGGAAGTAAAAAATGACTCAGCAGTTCACAGCTACCTGCCATCAGCTCCTCATAAGACGGGAATTCACAATTCAAATCACAATTCAAATCAAGAAATTGCATTTGTTCCTCCAAAAATTATAGAAAGATTTTAACATGAAGCAGTAACAAAATCCAAAACTACTTTGTAATTAAAGAGAACGTTTGAAAATGAAATTTCATAAAATTGTTTTATTTACTGTGGTCATGAGAATGCTCACAGCTACTGAAAGAAACTGAAGAGAAGAATAACCTCCCGTTTTTAGTATAACTTGTTGCATATGATAATATATTATGGGTAACTGTTTTCAGGGTTCCTCTTACACACTTGGTCAGCTAAAACTGCTGCTTGACAGCATCTGCAAAATAGTCTAAGGGAAAGAAGATCGAGAGGGCAGAGGTAGTAAATTTCTAAATTTCAAATCACTACTGGAAAGTAGCCAGCTTTCAAGTTGACTGTATCCCTCCAAAGAGAGGTGACCACAAGTGAGCACCTACTTATTGCCCATTTCTCAATCCCAACACAGCTTTGCAGTGTCTCTAGCTCTTTACCTGGTCTCTAAGACACATGAGCAAATATTAATTTGCTTTTCTTTACACTTCTGTCATCAATCCACCTGACTTCCTACAGGCACCTCTGCATATTTTGGGGTAGACACTACCAGAAATCAATCTTTCTGAGACATAAGCAGAGAGCACCCAACACACCTGAAATAAATGTGCCTGAAATGGTAACACAGGGCTCCTCTACCGCTCCAGCTCTTAGATGGAAGGAGCATCATGGGTTTTAATGCTATATACAGTAACAAACCCACATGAAAATAAAAGCAGTCAATTGCATTTTTGCCCACTTTCACCTTATTTTGAGCTTTGAAATAATTCAATCTTCTGTTACAGCTTTTGATTCAGCCCCCGATTACACAAGAATCTCACATTCTGCCCTTTGCAAAGCAATTTTTAGCCCTTTGGTTGCGGAGAAAAAATTAAAACCAGGAAACCTAAAGGTTTAAGAACTAGATGGGAAATTAAAAAGATACTGAATTGTGCAATAAAAAACAACCCTCACGACATGTAAACAGATCACTTAAGTTTTCTTTAATGATTCTTCAGTAATTTCTATACACTACCATTTTCCAAGGCTACAGGGAGAATCATTCATTGGTAAATAGGGTAAGAGAAAGTGGAAATTACAGATCTAGTGGTCAATAGCAGAAAACAAATCTCAAAGAGCTGAGGGAAGAGGTTAAGTGCTATGCTAGTTAATAAGAATGACAGCTTGCTTTGAATACTCATACTGGCTGTCCAGGATATTGAATAAACCTCATTTAAATTAATTTTCATTATTTGTAGAGTCTGTGTTAGACATCTATCATTGTCAGCACTATTAATATTCTTTTCAGAGACCATATTATCAGCATATTTAAATGAAAGCTTTCCTTTTCAATATTTATTAATTCATTAATATTTCTTGGTACTAATATCCTGGTTGTAATACTCAAATTAGTGCCTACTACAAGGTATTTTCTACTGATTCAACTTTCTGAATTAGAAGATTTTTATTCTCAGGTACTAAAAATGCACTTGAGCTCCTGAAATTGTGCTTTCTCTCTATACTAGGTCTTAATTTAAATGAACGGCATTTCAAATTTACATTTTTGTCTTTTTTTTGGTAGGTAGCAGTAAAACCGTGCACTGACCACATCCTAGTAGCTGACCAAATATGAACTGTGAATGAACGCAAACGTGAAATTTAATTCATCTTACCCGGGTTGCAGTCTGTGAGGAGGGAGCAGATGGAGAGGAGAACTTTCGAAATGGTTAACGCTGGACTCCAGTTGTCTTTTAAAATGTCCAGGCAGATGACGCCTTGGCTGTTAATATTACAGTGGTAGATTCTTGTCCGAAATGTTACCTAGAAAAGATAGCGTGTCTAAGTACAATGGTGTTCAAGCCAATAATTACATGATTATTAAGCAATTAAAAAATTATACAAACTAACATTCTGCTTTAGTGGTTGAAATGACAGTACTCTACTACTGTCAGTTAAAGACTGGGCAAGATAGGGACATTCAAAAGAAAATAAAGAAAATTAAGTCTGTCTCTTCCACTTGTGGCTAGCAGTGGAACTGGCTTGTGCAAGGCGAGAATGGGACATATTTCCCGAGCTTCCTCTTGCCTTGGTCTCATCAATCTCATTATTTTTGTAAGGGGCCAAAAAAAACTATTCCAGCCCCTGATGTGGACAACATTCATAACTCAGGCCCACAGCTACTTCACACTTTGAAGGGAGGCAGAAGACAGATTCTTCTGCTGTCTTCATCAGTTCATCATTTGACCCAATAGATTAGGCTGGAAAAAAAATGTGGAGGCATCACATCAGTGACTCCTGGAAAAAGTAGAGGGAAATATCTTTGAGAAAGGATGCTCAAATAAGATGTTTTTATTTTCACAATTTAAGTAAGTCACAGCTGAATCAGTAGAATTGCTTACAAATACTTTTTGGGTTTTTGTAGTTGATTTTGAGGATTTCTGTATCTATTTTATATTGTCTCATAGGTGATCCCATATGTAACAAACCAAGAAGGAGATCACTTCTTTTAGCCCAGAATGACATGCTTCTGCTTCACGTTGAAGATACAGGCCTTTTATTTTAAAAGGTGGTCAGCTATGAAAGTCCACGTCATAGTTCAAAATGAATACTGGGGCTACTGGATAGGAAGGGACAGTATAAAAAAACATCTCTTGGGTTCATCAAGGACTAATTTCTCCATCAGTTCTACCCAAATGACAAGTCAAACCAGAAGGTTTTAATGACCTGTTCATAACATCTAAAATTAAGATGCACAATTGCAGTGGTCTACACCAGCAATAACCCTGTCAACAGAGGGGCTGAGTAGGCAGGAGACAACAGCAGGCAAAGGACCCCCCAATTTAGGAAAGCTGTGCTCTTCACTAGAGTTGGAGAGTGCTGATAACTGGGAGTGCTTATGCGCCTATCCCTGCTCTACCACACAGATAAACCTGCTTCTAGAGTGTAATGGAAACTGATGACGGGCATGCTCCTGGTCTGATTTTATTCAATATCAGGAATCTCTGTGATTTCAGTGGGATTGAGATCCGGCCACTTATCAGAAGCAGAAGAGAGGATACAAGTGAAATAACACAGTACCTAGTTTACTTCCATTAAAAAACCCCCATACTCTAACACACTGAAAAATTCTGTCCCTTTGGATTAAATCAAGCAGCTTTGACAAAATAACAGAAAGAAAAGGTAGTGGATTTCTGGTATTAAAACACTACATTCATCAAGAAATACTTATTCTCATGAGTACTTTTCCACATAAATCTGGGAAAGCACTTTCAGAGCCCACTGTCATGCCCCAGTGAGTTTTGTAATCAAGATCCCAACAAAGCAAGTTCATCAGTTTTTAAGCACATCTATATCTAAAGGTATTGCCAATTAATAGGCTAATTCAATTGTTTGCCACTCCATACCCTACATATTTGTAGGTTCTTTCCTTCTCCCACCCACTACAGTTGTGGTTTCGCCTATTGTTTTCCAGCCTAAGTGCTTCACTTCCGGAACTTTTATGAGAATTTAAAATATTTCTGGCACAATGAGCTCAATTCATCCAAACACTATAGCCAGATGATCTATTTTTTTCCTCTCATTAGGAGTCCATGCACATTCAGCATTTGTAGTGAAGTAAGTGTTCTGCAAGATCAAGAAAATAGTATTTAGTGATAAAATTAAACGTTCGTCTACAAAGGGAAGCTATTTTGAACAAGGAAGGTTATAAATCCACAAAAGTGGTACACTACCTTACGCAAAGTGTAAGTGTCAGAAGTGTCCACAAGGGGAGGTGGTGTGGAGGAGCATCTTGAGAATTGTAGGTCAGTGCTCATTAAGTCCCCAGCTAGATTAACTCCAGGCACTCTTACCCTTGAGATATAAGCAAATCAGAGAATGCTTCCTAGCAGGATGTCCCATGACTCAGGCAAACAATTTAGCACCTACTTAATTTTAAGTACTGTATGCTCACTTCTCAGTACATTGTTGGAATAAAGTTTTTGCTTAATTCTTTTTCCGGAACAAAGGTGCTGCTTTCCTATGCTTCCATGATGAAAAATTTGAGGATTTTATTCAGTGGTATCTGAATACACCGAGTAATAAGATACATGTGGTCTGACTGAATGCGGGAGAAACATGGAATCCATCGCACAGATTAAATTATACCCTCTAAATTATTTATAGACAGGTCAGTCTGAGCTTGTAACCTGCTTAAGAGAAGGCCATCAATTTGAGTCTGTATTTTAACATGTAACTGTTTTGCTGTCAGCTGAGAGGACAGACACTTTGTCACATGTTCCCCTGCCTTAGTTGCTTTTGAAGCATTGAAGCAATGACACTGGGAATTTGGCAGGATTCAGAGAGCCACTGGGATGAATGGAGGTAGTTCATGTGTTTCCTAAACTGTTCAACCCTCCATTGCCACCTTAGGCTATATGGTGGATAAATGTAGGTAGGACTACACCCCTTCGTAGTTGGAAGGCTATTTTTAGCAAATACTTAGACCTGAAATGTAGCATTTTTTCACTATGAGCACATCTTAAACCCTTGACACTGAAGAAGGTGCCCACTCACAAGATAAAGGCTTGCTGCTTATCACTGATAAGTATGCCACTTATTGCCAAACATGCCAGTGCACTTTAAAATGCCTGCCTAAGTACACTGACACATTTTAATGACAAAAAAATCAAAGTTTTCAGAATTTCAAAAGAAGCTGTATTAATGACAGCCTTAATACGCTGGGAACTGCGGACTGACAGTGGCAGGTAACAGTGTTCTTATCCCAAAGCAGCACAGAGTACAACTGGGATGACATACTGCTTTCCTCATCCAGGTATTGCCTCAAATTGCAGCTAGTGCTGGAAATGCTGACATGTAACTTTCTGGATGTTGTGTTTACCATACCCACATTTTAAAGTTACGCAGGGTCGTTCCTATTATATGTGTAGAGAGAAACTAAGTGATAATACCATTCCAGGGGAACTACATTTTCTTTATTATGGTCATATTTTTACCTCTGATGCCACTTAAATCGTTCCTATAAATGGTGCACTCTAATTCTATTTATCCCCTAATGAAAATACCTGAACAATCCCATGCAGGGGCTCAAGGGAGTGTGTGGGTGTATAGGAGAAGTTATCCTCAGACAATTGAATGGTAGAGGAGTAATTTATCTTTTTTCTGAACGATAAGTGTCCTCCATGGATTTACTCTCTTTGATTCTGCAGTTTTAAGAGGGTATCTCATTTTTGTTGAATAAAAGTGCAGGTCAGAAAAATGCAAATTACAGGAAACAGGGAAAAATGGGACTACCTTCTGAAAACTGTAGGAGTACTATAAAAAAGCTTTTGAAAGGTAATGATAAGGAATTTATATTCAATCAGTTTTGGAAGTAAACAACAACAAACTCATCTGTTTATCGACTGCTGAATGCCAAACCATTCTGAATACTGTAAAACAGAATTAAACAAATAAAAAACTCCTTTATACGGTCTCTAAGAAGAAAATGAGGTTATCTATTCAAAGGTGGGAGAAAAAATGATTAGAAGGAAAAGAAGTACACATAAAGCTATGGCTGGCTGTTACTGGATAAGCTTTAGGACTGAAAAAAGACTGTTTATAAAAACCAGGGAAGAGTGAATTAAGATGTATTTCAGTTGAGTGATTGGAGGCAACTGGTTATAGGCAAGATAAATCACTCCTGGATCTCAGAGTGATTTTGAAGACCAGTTTTCCAGCATGATGTAGTCCTAAAATCACTCACTATCTCTCTTTTGCACTGAATGTTCCCCTCTTAGGTCTAAACCCAAGCAGCCACTGCAGCGCTGGCATCCACATGTGTGACTTGCTTAACCTTTGCTGTGAGATTCAGAGACAGGCACGTAAAGGCACCACAGCTCTGAAAGGGCTGGTCCCACAAACACATCTCATGCACTTTCAGACTCCACTGAATTCAGTCGTAATTCTCTCCAAAAACGTTATCAGGAGGAAGAAATGATTCTCCAGTTTTGCATATTAGCACGCAAGGGGTTACAGTGTGCACTCAGGAATTGCTTTCTTCAGCCTGTGTGGGTTCAAACCCTCACCTCCCGTTCCTCATTCCTCCCACTGAAGCCTGGTGACTGTGCAGGGAGAGATGAAAGATTCCCAGAGTCAACAGGAGAATAAACAAAACCAACCCCCTTTTGCTCGGCCAAGACTGGAAACAGGGCTGAGATGCCAGGGCTCTCGTTCCCGCAGTTTTGGGAAGTTCCTTTCAAGCTCTTTCATTTCTTACAAGGGTGCCATCCTGCATGCCTACCTGAGATGAAACTTCTGTCTTCCTCAAATATTCCCCAGGAGTTCTGTTTTAATAAAACTGCGGTGGCACTACCTGAAGTGGAAGAAGTTGTACTGCATACAGAAAAGGTTGTATATATATTAAAAAATATGATGCCCTTTATGATGATGTTCATGTTGCTCAGGAGGGAGTAAGTAGTTCCCATCTCAGTTTGTCAGACTTTATGAGCAATAGATTTGTCTGCTTGAATAGAGAGAATAATAAAAACAAGATCAGGCCTACACTCTTTTAGTCATATTAGAAAAATACTCCAAAACAACCTAAATGAAAAATATCTATAGCTCTGAGTGACACGATGTTCATGCAACAACTTTTACATTAATTAGCATCCTTAAATTTGTTACAGAGTGCACTTCATTTTATCTATACCCAGCACTGAGGCTGCCTTTCTAAGGCAGGGTGGTCCACCTCTGGTTTGTAACTACAGATTTGCAGCATGCACATGAACAACTGCTGAGATACTTAGTGGATTATCACATAAAGTGCATAATAAATGACCAAC